TCCTATTGTGCAGTTTTTTTTTGTCCTAAGTCATCTAATATAATTTGCTATTTGAACATTTTCAATACTTACAAGGACATGATATTTAACTAACAACAATTCTAAGAATGCAATTTTTAACAATACACGTAATATTTTATATTTTATAGAACATTGTTTTAATATCATTTTCATGAAGTATAAAATATTTTTTACATTATGGTTTTCTAATATGGAGCAAGGAGATTTTTGCGATCTAGTAGAAACTATTTTTGCGCAAAATTTAGTATCAACATCAGAATACTGTTAATATTTAAAATAAACTGTCAAAGTAAATTTTAAGCATTCATTTCAGAATAAACTTGAAATACTAATGTTACTTATAATTTGTAAGATATCAAAGGATTGGGGAAACATTAATTATTTAATATATTACTTTAGAGTCTTACTTTGATATTACCACCTCCAGGTGTATGTTTAGCATTGTCTTTGGAACCGACTTTTGGCTTTGCTTTGTCCTTGAAGTCGAGTTTCACGGTTTCGATCTTCTTATCACCACCACCAGGCTTGTATGTTGCGTTATCTAATGATCCGATTTTCGATTTTGCGTTCCATTGGAGTTTAACTTGAGAGATCTGTATTACGTTCACAGAAAAATATATAAATTATGAATAATATACAATTGATTAATATAAGAAAGGCAGCGTCACTTGCAATCTTAAATATGTGAAGTTTATGGGAAAAAGAATTCATTCACTTTACGCTGTCTGATCAAACAGCCCATTCATCACTTAAAATTGTGTGTATATATTGTATCATGAATTGAATCCACATAAATAAAAATGCTAACTTTTACAATATTCAATCAAGCTACTTAGGCAATATTTGTTATTATTCTTCAACGCTTTAGAACTAATGTATCTATGTTTTGCTTCTGGATTCTTTTCCCCAAGTTCAGACGTTTCAAATTTTCGGTTTAGACTATATTCAAATAGTAGATTTTAAACGAAACAAAGAACAGAAATGAGATGAACCTTCTTATCGCCTCCGCTGGGTGTGTATTTCTCATTTTTTGCAGCGATTTTCGGTTGTGCCTTGCTGAAATCGAGCTTTCTATTTTCTATTTTCACTTTACCGCCACCGGGTTTGTAGCTTGTGTTCTCCAACGAGCCGATCTTCGATCGTACCGTCTTCAAATTTGGAGATGGTGCTGCGCCCACTTGAACTTTGTTCATGGGAACTTCTATGCAAGTTGTCATATATTAGAAATGTACATACATGAAACATAATCCTATTCTGTTCCTTTCATACAATTATGACACTATAAAATATGTAGTATTGTTTTACATCAATTGCTGAATCACCACTAGTAAACTTTTCAGTAATATTTCAAATTTTCTATAAAACTTGAACACACATGTTGTTAAATAATCCTTTATGTAGGAATAAGATAAATATTATTTATAGAAAATGAACGGTTATTGCAAGAAAAATAAAAGAAGTAACAATGCTTTATTAAAACATAATGATTTCATATTTGTGTGAATATTTCAAGTAACTATATATAGCTTGTTTTTTGGAAGAAAATAATTGAAATACGTCCATAATTATAACAGATGCCTATCACACTTCTAGATTGCAAATCTCAAGTAATAGAAGTGTAATGTATTGCAATTATGATTATTATTGATAATAAATTGCAGTTATATTATTATTGATCAAGTCGTTGAGAAAAAATATCATGTCTTTAATTATCCATTTGCTGTAATCATATGTATTAGTTTGTGTCATCAATGAATGTAAGTTACTTCGCGTTCAGGTGTCCACCATGAACACCTGAAATAAGTGTCTACATATAGGTGTACACTACAATCAGACATTCAGAACTACAATAATTTTGAAATTTATAGTTTTAAAGTACATTTGCATTTTTATGCTAAAAATAAAGACTGCATAGAATAAAAGATCCAATTATTAAAAAAGAATGTAACAGTTCCATTTAGTTATACTGATGGGATGTGGTATGAAAGTAGTATAAGTATATGCTATATCTGACATCATACAATACTATCTTATCAAATATCCTACTTTCCTATATCATTGTAATGACATAATATTTTACTACTAATTTTTTCACGGAGTTAGTAGACGTTGTATAATTTGTGATTTTTGATTAATTGTTTTTCTGGACCTATGTATCAATTAGATCTCGTGCATTATTTTTATGAGAACTAAGACTGTCCAAAACATTGATCAGAACAGATCAGAACTCTGGGCAATGTAGGACTACCTAAAACTTGGTAACATTCCAGATCTCGTCAAAATCAAATATGTAGAACTGAACATGTGACATATTTACTAAGAGCATACATTCATTAAGACAACAAACATTAAACGATTGGAAATTTTCCAGAAACTCGAAACGAATATTTTATACAACAGATGGCGGGAATGAGAAATTATGCGCATTAGAAGATGTCTTAAAATAATTTTTTAAATGTTAAACAAAATTAAGTTTGGCTCGAGTGATAACATTTTAATATTCAAAATTGCCATTATCTTTATACCAGTCAAATATAAAATTAAATTCTTTTGTAATATCAAAATATTACTGCAAATAGGCAACGTAAAATCAGAGAGTAGAACCGTTTATTTACTTAGCTCCATATTTTAATTAGCATTGAATATTATCAATACTGTATGTAACGATACTCACTTTTCTTCTCCAGACCAGCTGTCGATGATGGAGTTTCTGGAGTTCGTGGTAATGACTTAATTGATTTATTTGGCGACTTTACAGGCGAACCGGCCGTTGACCTCTTGTCCGCATCCTTAACTCTGGAGGGTGATTTTTTCGTTGGTGAATCCTCAACTCCATTTGTTGCCGGGATCTACAAACATATTGCACTGATAATTAGTAATCTACGCATGGAACAAAATACATCGTTACAAATGAAACCTGTGATATTTACCGAATTAGATTGCGGTGAATCGTCGATTCCATTGCCATTTTCAATACCTGTGAAAAGCAAACAACATTTAATTCTATCCAATATCTATATAGGTATTAAAAACGAAAGTATCGCCCTGCATTTCTGAAGCAAAATCTTAGTACTTTCGTCAAAAGTACTACTTAATCAAAGAGATCTACCAAAAATAGTGCGAAAAAATATATTGCAGTAACGCTAATTGCAAGCTGCAGAATAATTATACGAAATTACTGTATTCTTTTCGATTCAAATGTTTCTGTAGCCAACAACAATTTCCTTTGTTTTCCATAAATACAAATAAAAACCTGTCGTCGATGTTACGGTCTTGGGTTCCAACGTTTCATGTAACTTAGCAGGTGTGGGTGCTCGTTGAATTCTCGGTGTAGTTGGTTTCGATGATCTTTCCTCTTGATCAGCCAAGGATTCAACGAAACTGGCTCGTTTCTTTTCGCTTCCCGCGGATCTTGCACTACCGGTTGGTGATTTCGGGGAAACCGGCAACTTGGGACTAGCCAGTGTCGGCGATTTCGGCGACAGCGACCTTCGCTGTCCATTATCGAAACCTTTGACGCTGTCTTCCGGGGTTTTCGGTGGAGACAACATTGATTCCGCCGCTGACAATTTTCCATCGCCCTCGGCTGATACTGGAGACTTCGGCGAACTTCTTGTTTCTTTCGCAGAGGTAGGCAAACTCACGCTAGGACTAGTTGGTTTCGACTCTGGAGTAGGCTTTTGCAGATTTTCCGACGAACTGTCGTCAGAAATTTTCACTGCATCTTTCACACTTTCCGCCGACTTAGGCGGCTCCTCGGCAGCTTCGGCAGCAGGTTCGCTAGCCGCTTTCGGCTTTTCATCCGAAGAATCTTTCGACACTGTCGTCTCCTCGCTTGACTGTTCAGGCGCTTCAGCTGGCGCTTTAGACTCCGCTGCTGCCGCCGTGTTTTCAGACGATTTATCTACATCCTCATCTACAATTTTCGATTGTTGTCGATTGTCCTTCACTTCTGCTGACTCACTCTCGCTCGGTTTCACGTCAAGATTCTCTTTAGCTTGATTTACTTCCGCCGGTGTAGACGCTCGGGACTTATCCGGTGTTTTATCCTGCACCTTCGATTCCTCTTCATTTTGGGTCAAGTCGGCCGGCGTGCTCGCGCGCGATTTGTCCGGAGACTTCGAAGGTGTCTTCAAACTCTGCTCGCCCTCAGCCTGATTGCTTCCCAGGGACGTGTTCGACCGCGAATTTTCCGAAGACCTGGACGGTGTCTTTAGCCCAGGATCCTTCTGACTCTCGCCGAGTTCAGTCGGCGTTACTGAGCGGGATTTATCCGGGGACTTGGACGGTGTCTTTAGTCCTTGGTCTTTCTGGTTCTGGCTCGCCTCAATCGGTGTACTTGTGCGCGACTTATCCGGAGATGCAACGTTCAATTCCTGTTCACTGGGTTTCTGCTCGTTCGAAGACTCTTTAGCAGATTTGTTTGACTTATCGTCTTTGAGCGACGGTGTTGGCGAAGGAGTCGTTCTCTTCTCTCCCGCCGATAGGTTTGTAGTCTCTCTGTTCACGTCTGCTTTTTCGCATGGCTTCTCGATCGCGTTATCCACCGATCCCTTCGGTTTGTTCTCTAGCTTTTCATTGACAGGCTCCGAACGCGGTTGATCCAGCTTCGCAGAAGGCGAACGGTTCTCCGATCCAGCGGATTTCACCGTTTGACTTTCCGTCTTGTCAGGTTTGCTGTCCGCGGCGATGCTGTTAGGCTTGTCATTGAATTTCTCCGTGGGTTTCACGTCCACTTTGCCGTTTATCGTCGCGGTTTCCGGCCTCTTCGCCGACTGGACACTGTCCCTGCTGTCGGGACGAGGCGACTTCTTGCTGTCCATGACAACATCATCGTCATCGTCATTCTCCGCGTTGTCGCGCAGCTTCTCCTTCGGAACGGAGTTCTCGGGCTGCTGTTGCTTCCTCACGTTATCGACATCAGCCATCCTTTCGACCACGATGCGCGGAAGCGGAGGCTTTCGATCTTCTCTTTGCGGTGACAGACTCTGCTGCGGAAAGCTCAGCAACGATTCATTTCGTTGCAGCTGCCTCTTCGCGATTTCTTGAGGTCGAGCGAGAACGTCCGGGGTGCGCGGTGCGTTCTGATGCTCGAAGCCTGGGTGTTGAGGCGGTTGTGCGTTTCTCGGGAACAGATGACCTTGGAAATTACCAGGATGCGGCAATCTAGGCCTCTGTTGAGGACCGGTCCTGTTGATCGGGGACGGAGCGAAACGGGGGTTCAGTACGATTGGCGGATTCTGACCCTGCTGCGGCGGATTCGGAATCTGCTGAGGTGTGTATGGACTCTGCTGAGGTGTATATGGACTCTGCTGAGGCGGGTGTTGACCTTGCTGAGGCGAGTTTTGACCTTGCTGAGGCGGCTTCGGTGGCAATTGATTTCCAGGTGGCCTCGGCAGCCCGTACGGCCTGAGCTGTACGAATTGACCTGAACCGGACGGTCTGACAGGGGCACGATTGTCGAAACGGATTTGCGGCGGCTGTCCCAGGACTGGCCTTGGTTGTCCTACAGGGCCATTATTTATTAGCTGTCTTGGTGATCCAGGTGGACCTTGCGGTCTCGCCCGAAATCCGGGTGGTAATGTTGCGTTTGGTTTTACCTATGAAAGAATAACTCGTGACAATCCACGCCGGATTTGAGGAAGATTGAATCCGAGCTTTGAATTGATCTGTTATTTAATTATGAAATTGCACTGATCATTGCGTTTTATTCCGAGGTGATCTGACATTTCTCAGATGAAAGTACACGTTAAACTTTTTCAGAGATGATTTTCAAAGAACTGTTTTCTCAAAAAATTTTATTATGTGTCACAAAAAGATGTACAGTAAATTTTCCCTAAATTGTTTTTCAACTTCGAAACAAAAATGGACAATTTGGGAAGAGAAGATCATGTCTCGCGGCTCGTTTTTATAGTTGCCGATTCTCAACAACTATAAAAACAAGGAGCAAAACTCGAATAATCGTATCTTCTTTTCTCAAATTGTCCATTTTTATTTACAAGCTAAAGGACAATTGGGGAGAATTTAATGTACTGCACTGATATCGTCAATATGTCGATATTGTTATTTATGCTACTTTTTAAGATTTCATACTATTTTTTAATAAAATACTGAGAGTATTAAGGTATTTTTTAAAAATACAATTTTTCAGAACTAAGATAAACAGGACAAGTTTCTATTCTTTCTCTTCTCAATTAATTTTTGAAGAGTATTTAGTATGTTGCTGATAATTTTAATAATTTGACAATTTTAAAAATATGAAAACTTAACTTGTACTTGTTTGTTTCAAAAGCTCACTACCTGGATCATCGATTGCCGATATTATTAAAAAAGATAGGAATATTCGAAATTGCACTTAACTTATTGATAGAAATATATTATGTAAATTGTAGCTTATGAATTTTCAAAATGTTCAACGATTATAAAAATGTTAGCAATTTGAAGTAGAAATACCTCTTTGCTAAATAGAATCATTATTGAATTTTCATGAAAAATTACATAATTATTATATAGAGAATTTTTCCGAATTTAAACCAAATCAAACGTGTAATAATGAAGTTTTTGTATCGAGCAAAAATTTAATTATAATCGTCTATAATATAATATATAATTTCTTTAAATGTAC